TGCTCTGAATGTGGTAAGCCTACTACTACAGCTTGTGGACGGTATGCTAAACATATTAGAGGATATTATGTGATGCAATATTATAATAAATTGCGGGATAAAGCTCAGAGATTAGACTTGATAAAAGGTGTGACTTATAATATGGTATGTATTGAGCGTCTTGTCACCTGCCTTCTCATAAATTTAAAGCCAGAAAAAGGAGGGGATAGTGCTGAGGATGTTCTGGGAATATTCCTGGAACTCAATATATATGCATTTATATTACTTGATTTTTTTTCATGTTTTGCGTACATGCTCCACACCCTTGGTGCTCTGCAACCTCTGTATGCATATCTTGTATACATATACTTCGCATCTTCGATGCTCCGCAACCCGTGAACATATCTTGTATACATATACTCTGCATCTTCGATGCTCCGCAACCCATCGCATTTTCGATGCTCCTCAACCTGTGAACATATCTTGTATACATATGCTCTGCTTTGCTCTGCAAACTTGGCATTCATATTTGCTTTATGATTTGCATACCATCTACCCACTTATTGCCACCCATATTTGCATCATATATAGCATACATTAAAATATAGTAGCATATGATCGAAACAATATAGCATCCATATTCGCTTCGCCCTAAAGGGCTCGCTCATATTCCTGCTATACCATTTCTCCTGTCGAATGCGTATTCACTGGCGTCGCTTTAAAGGGCTTTGCCAGCTCATACTTATTCTCCTATATCGAATGCGCATTTGTCATCATTTCGCTTCTCCTCATGCTTGTTCTCTCTTGCTACCTAAGCAGTATGCTATTGGGAGGCGATTTGCTTACCATTTGCCTACTTATTACCACCTATATTTGCCTCATAAATAGCATACATTAAAATATGGTAGCATATAATCAAAATGATATAGCATTCACATTCGCTTCACCTAAAGGGCTCGCTCATATTCCTGCTATATCATTTCTCCTGTCAAATGCATATTCACTGGCATCACCCTAAAGGGCTTTGCCAGCTCATACTTATTTTCCTATATCGAACGCACATTTATCATCACTCCGCTCCTCCTCATGCTTGTTCTCTCTTGCTACCTAAGCAGTATGCTAGTGGGAGGCAATTTGATTATAATGTATGCGAAAAATTTATGGGTGAGACTTGATAAAAGGTGTGACTTAAACATGTGATTTTGAGGTAAGACTTAGAGGTGAGACTTGGCATATATATTTTAGAGGTGTGATTTAGAGGTGAGACTTAGAATATGGTATACATTTTAGGCTTGCATGATCGAGTCTAGCTCAAATCGCGTTACTTTATTCCTTGATTTTCGCTGGGCCCTCTAGAGGCAAGCAGAATAGCATAAAAGTTATTATTCATATTGGGTTTGCAATGTCGGGCCCAGCTCAAATCACATTACTTTGTTCCTTGATTTTCGCTGAACCTTCCTGAGGCAAACAGAATAGTAAAAATTTTTTGATATATTATTTGGGATTAAAATCAGGCTAGAATTGTTATATCAAACAGTATAATTCTTGGTATCAGACAGGCTAATTTCTAGCCAAGTTCGATAACATCATTTAGAATTGAGTTAAAAGGCGTTAGAAGTTTGAATAAATAGAAATGAAATATATAGCAAACTGGACTTGTAGGCGGGTTTGAGTACAAATATAGGACATTTATTCGATCTGTCCCAAATCTCTCAAAATGTCCTATATTATAGTATATTAAATGAACTTTATTTGGTTAAATTTTTAGAGACTATTAGCTTATTAATAAAACAAGTAATTTAGCTAGCAAAAATGCTTAAATTTCTATGTAATATCAATCAAATATCTAAAATTAGATTTTATAGAAATGATTCATATAAATTTTAGTAATGATCAACAAATGATCGATATATATAAAAATACTTTGAAGTATGATTTTAATAGCAAAATCTTAAAAATCTCAAGTGTTATAAAATTGATGTAACAATATTTTTGACAAGTCAGAATTAATAGCAAAATTTTAGATATTTTATAGTTTCATTATTTATAAAATAATTTAATATTTGTAAAAATAATTATTATAATAAAATGTTAAATATATAAAATTAAAGTATCGACTTATTAATTGATTAGACTCAATATTATTTTTAGTGCAATTTTTATTGGCTAAGTATGTTTATTGTGACGTAATTATTTTTTGATCATCAATTACTCAAAACTAATTTACTAGTCTTGTGACTCATTTTTAATAGATCAGCTCTCATATTTAGATCATTCTAATCAAAAAATGCTTAAATCATTTGATGAAATAATATTTTTGATCATTTCAATCAAATGATTTATTTATTATTTGATGAAATAATATTTTGAATCTTCTAATTAAATGATTCATTTATCATATAAGAGGTATTCAGTAAAAAAGGGAGAAATTCAAATTTTAGGCACTAATTTAGCTAATAATAAAAATTAACAAAAATTTTGGATTCCAACTTTTCTACTGACTGCTTTCTATATTTCCTATATGATGAAATGATATTTTTATTATTCTAATTAAAAGATGCTTAAATTATTCAATAGAATAATATTTTAGATTATTCTATTAAATGATTCATTTATTATTTGATAAAATGATATTTTGATCATTTTAATTAAATAATGCTTAAATCATTTGATAAAATGATATTTATGATTATTATAATTCATTTATCATTTGATGAATGAAATAATATTTATGATTATTTTAATTGAATAATTCATTTATTGTTTGATGGAATAATATTTTAATCATTCCAATAGAACAATGCTTAAATCATTTGATGAAATGATATTTTGGATCATTTTATCAAATAATTCATTTATCATTTGATAGTTTTGATAGAATAATATTTTAATTATTTCAATTAAATAGTTCAATTAGAATGATATTTATGATCATTCTAATTGAATAATTCATTTATCATTTAATGGAATAATATTTTGGATTGTTCTAATTAAATGATTTTTATCATTTGATGAAATAATATTTTGGATCATCCAATCAAACTATACTTAAATCATTCAATAGAACAATATTTATGATTAATGAGGCTGTTTGAAACCTATTTTAACATATAGCTTAAAAATTGAGAAACTATTTCAAAACCTTTAAAATGACTTTTTTAAATCTGAAACTTGATGAAACTTTAATTGAGTTTAAGAAAACCTATTAGAAGTTTAGTTAAAGATATTTATTATAAACAAATAGTTTTATCTTAAATATCTCAAAACTCAAATTTTCTAAAAATAGTTTAGGAAGGTTTCTTTATTTATGATCATTTTAATCGAACAATTTATTTATCATTAGATTAAATGATATTTTAGATCATTTTAATCAAATGATTCATTTATTATTTGATGAAATAATATTTTCTAATTAAATAAATGTAATAACTAATTAACAAATTAATAAATATTATAACAAATTAATAAATTTTTTAAAAGATTACAACTATATTGTAATATATATTATAACAGTAATATGTTGCAACTTATTTATAAAAGCTATTATCTTTAGTTTAAATATTTAAACCTTTTGTAATTATAAGAAACTTAGCTATTGCAAATAATTATAGCTATCCTGCAGTTTTTCTTTTCATTAGAAATCTGAATTTTAAATATAATAAACTTTATCAGTTTTGTGTTAAAATTATAAAAGAAAATATTATTCAACTTGACGAATTAGATAGTTTATTAATAATAAAACTGGAATTGAAGACTTTAGTAATAGATAATAAGCTAACTTTATAAAAAATAATTTAGACATTTCTTCTTTACTCAAATATGAGGTAATGAATATTGATTATTCTTTAATTCTTTTACAATAATAAAAATCATGTAGAAATAATATTAGTAATAACAATAATATTATTATGATTGAAGGATGTATTTTACTTTTTAATGACAATTTGTTCTATTAAGAAGAAATTAATTAAGATACCCTAAATAGTCTTCCTAATATAATTTCTGCTTTAAATGTATCACTTTCCTTTCTTCATCTTTTCTCCCTAATAATAATAATAATAATAAATAATAAAAGAGTAAAAAATAAAAGGTGAAGAAAACATAAAAAATAAGTTAGAGATAATTTATATAGATATAATTAGACTGCTAAAGAAGTCGTTACGAATGGTATAACTAATGTTCTAAAAAAAATAAATAATTAAATAAATATAAATTAATTTAATGTTAAAAAATAAGAATATTATTTATATAAATGCAGTAATCTATCCTTATCTAGCAACTATAATTATGAAAACTTTAGCATTGATGACTTCTGTATTAAGTAATGTCTCATAAAATAAAATTTTCTGCATTTATATTTGAAATCAGTTAAATATCCAGATCCCGAAAGTCATATATCATTAATTAGATTTACAAAACTTAGTCTGTTAATAATTTTTTATAGAAAATAAAATGTTTCATTTCACTTATTTTTATATATTTTATCTGAAATTCATTAATTTATTTATTTTACTAAAAATAAAAGGATTAAATATCAAAAAATATTTTAAGACAATTGATTTGATTGAATGGCCTTCCTTTCACAATTATGAACTTTAAATTTGCTTCTATATTTGAAAAGGCAACCAGTTGAAAATTACAATTCAATCACGTCTCTAAAACAATTTGCCACGCCATAAACGTCACAAATGATCAGTTACGCCACATATCAAACAATAACCTGTCACACATTTGACCTGTGCGAACTGATAACGCAATGACGATCATTAAGATCAAAGTGGGCGTATCATATAAATTTCCTTTTTTGGTAATCAATATTTTTGTTTATGAATTAACATCACATCTAATCTATTCCCAATATGTAAATATACAATAAAGGTTAAAAAAAGGATTAATTAATCGATTGAAATCATTTTCTCTATAAGAACACTCGAATTGTGAAATGTAAGGGAATTTTTTTTTGTTCTTTACGAAAAATTAAAAATATTAACAATAAAACAAATAAAAGGTAATAAAAAAAAATGAGTAGGGTCGGAACTATTATTGCTATTATAGCAGTCTCCATTTCACTTGTAATATTGTTATTAAGTTATGCGGGTACAAAAATGGACGTCGATATACCACAAGACAATAGTACTCGCACCGGATATCCCGTTTGGCATCCTCCTTTTCCAGGGCATTATGGTGAAGATCAAGATGCAACAATCTTTGCCTCGGTAATATTGATGGCAATCGGTGGATATTTTGCATATAAATGGACATTGTTTGATACGAATGCTAATGAAGAGTTAGTAACATATATGGTTGATAGAGCTGCCAACAAAACTACCACCATTTACTTTGATCAATTATTAGCCGCATACTCGTTAATTACGGGCATAACAGGATTTGCATATCTCGCATTTGATATTGGTAAAATATGGGCTACGATTGGAGTGTTTCATAATGGTTTTGAAGTTGTTATCTTAGTTGCTTTACATCAAGGAGGAAGAATCGTTTCAAACAAATTTTTAGCTTGGATGATTCTTTACTTTGTATCCACCTTAGGTTTTAGTATCTTTTTAGATTGGCCTTATGACACCGTTTGGTTTAAGTTGCAGGGACTTTGTCAGGATTTTGCGTTGGCGATTACATTTACGCGCATATATTTTGCTACTCGTAATGGTTATGGGGATGAGACTCATCAGCGTCTTTTTGATGTAGAAAGACCAAGAGAACACAACGGTGTTAAAGAATATATTTTTGGTTCCGTTTCACGTTTTACTCCTTGTTTCGTTCTATTGTTGGTGTTTGCTTCTTACACTCACATTTTAGGAAATGTTTATGCAACCATTTTTTTTACTAGATATTATTCGTATCTCGTACTTTCCTTTTCCTATTGTATTACTTTCCCATTCTACTGTTATTTTGTTTATTTAGATACTCATTCGGTTGCGACCCCTCCCTCTCAAAAATACATTATACTACCTGATAACAGTAAACCAAAAGTTGTTCTTGTCACTTTATCTGTATTTTTCCTTTCCTTCTTATGCAGTAGATTATCTTTATACTTTCACGATGACAATTAATTGGGTTGGTCCATTTTTTTTTTGTTTGGTCCTTTAAAATAATTATTATTATTTTTCATGTATCAAACATTATAAAACGAATAAAGAAATATGTTTTACTACGCTATGCTGCGTGATTTCAAACTTTTTTGTACGTTGACATGAATCGATCGTTGTTTCACCGAATTTGAATGTCGTTATGATATTTTATGCTCAAAGTATTATTTTAGATGTATTACTTTGCTATTGAAGAAATTTCCAGAATTTCAAAAAATTTTAGGTGATGCGTAAATTCAAGTACAATTTGAACCGCAAAAAAAAAAAATTTTTTGAAATTTATTCAGCAAAAATATAACAGTGATGATAATAATTCTTCAATAAGGCTGAACAAATTGTTTAACGCTCGTAATACTATAAAAAATCATTTCAATTCTTGAAAAAAGCGATATGGCGAAAATCTAAGATCTTTATCTCGGCCTAATTGTTGGAATTTTTATTTTATGTTTCCATAAAATTTCCTTTTTGTTGTTTTTTTTTTTTTACTTTTGGGTTCTTTCTCTTTAGGCAGCAACGATAGAACGATTTTTATTTTCATTTTTGTTTTTTAAAATTACTGCGCCACTAAATAAATTCGATTTTTATATGGTCATATGGACGTACGTACGTACTAACCCACCCATATGATTTATAAAACGTGATTTACAAAAATTTTCCCACATTTTTTTTTTTTTTTTTTTTATGTATTCCTTCAATTTAACTAAGCCAAGATTATTTAATTTTTTAACTATTAAATGCGGAGGCTTACGAGCCAAAAATTTATCAGATCGAAAATTTTCTTCTTCAAGGATGGATTCTCAGGTTTATTTTTTTATTAATGAAATTTTTTTTTTTTTTTGAGCATTAGAATTTATTTTAATTTATTTTATTTTTGTTTTCTTTTTGCCCTAGACTGAATGGTCTCGATTAATTCGGTAATGAATATACGTTAAATCAACCATTTTTGATTTTAGAACTTTTTTTTTTAATTATCAAATTATATGATAGTTTTATAGGTGATGATGATAAAGTATACTCAGGTCAACCTATTGTTGATTTGAATGGATCATTACCACCGATTTTAGAATTAAAAGCAAATATAATTCAAGGAAACGTCCTTACTGAAGAAAGAATAGATATTACAGATAAAATAATCAATGTCAAAAAGGTGATTTCTTAAAATTTTTTTTTTTAAATTCTTTTCTTTTTTCTTTGTAATTAAAAGATTAATCCTTTCAAAATTTCTAGTTATTGACACCATTAGCACCATCACAAATTCCAATAATTCGATGTATTGGGTTAAATTATAAAGAACATGCAAAAGAAACATCGCAACCTATACCAAAATTTCCGATATTATTTATAAAACCATCAACTAGTTTACAGAATCCTTTTGATAAGATTAAAGTACCTACTATAGCTACTAATAATCAAGTTGATTTTGAAGCCGAATTAGCTATAATAATTGGCAAAACCTGTAAAAATGTTGATAGAGAAGATGCTTTACAATATGTCTTAGGATATACTGTAGGAAATGATGTTTCCGCTAGAAAATGGCAAGGTATTTTTTAGAAGGGTATTTACATTTTTAAAAGTTAAAATAATAATGTTCTTTTTTATCTAGGAAAAAATCTTGGGTCTGGTCAATGGTGTTTTTCAAAAGTAATTAAATTTTTTTTTTTTTTATAAAAAATAATTATTAATTTAATTTTTAATATATGGTTTTGATTTAATAGGGATTTGATACATTTTGCCCAATTGGACCACAATTAGTTTCTCCATCAATTATAAAAAATCCAAATTCATTAAGAATTAGTACGAGACTTAATGATAGCCAATTATTACAAAATTCAAATACTTCTGACATGATCTTTAATGTAGCTGAATTAATTAGTTTCTTAAGTCAGGGTACGACATTACAAGCTGGTTCTTTGATCTTAACAGGAACTCCTCAAGGTATATATATTGTTTTATTTAATATTAAAAATTAGTTATGGCGGTTAATTGCTTTATTACCTTATTATATAGGCGTTGGATTTACTAGAAAACCTCCAATTTACCTTCAACATAATGATAAAATCGAAGTAGAAATCGATCAAATAGGAACTTTAACTAATATGATTGAATATGAAAATCAAATCAAATAAATAATTCTAAATTATAATTGTATAAATAGCACAATCAGTTTTTTAAAAACTTACTGTATATTTATATTTAATACAAATAAAAAAAAATTTTTTTAAAATTTAAATTATAATTATTTTTATTAAATGCAAATAATAAATCACAATTAATTACGAAATTATATATTAAGATTTATTTTTTCTTCAAAAGGCGCATGCTGGTGTCTGATATGTGGGGATGAAAGATGACCTTTTGGAGGAACTTTCTAAGCCTGCGATAAACCTCTTCCAGTTTGAATTCTTGAGGTTGTAAGGCCTACTAATCCTGATTTGATGAATTTCCTTACTTCAGAAAGGGTTCTCGTGTCTTATGATAAATTTTGGACGTTTCAAGAATTCATTATCTTTAGTGCGTTGGTTTTTTCATAAAAAATAATTCCTAAAGTGTTCTAAACTGCGCCTCAAGTAGAAGTCCCTTACAATAATTCTCCACATATTCTGGATACTTTTAAGACTCTAAAGCAGATTAGATTGTCCATAACTAGGAAAAAAATTCGGAAACCGTTGTTAAGTCTGGAGCACAAGTAAATGAAAGAGACCAATACTGAATTGACTCAATTTTTCACAACGTGAGATCCTTTTATTCCTTCGCTTTGCTTCAGACAAATAAGTTACACTAGATCTTCAAGATTGCCGTGTGGGTAATAATGCCAAAAAATAAAAGCGTTTCCAGAGATTTAGAATGGTTCATTTCACCCGCGAAGAAAATCATTACAATATATAAAAAGGAGTTAAGTTTCATCATTTGATCCTTTAATCCTTGCACAATAAATCAAACGAAAAATCCAGCGAAAAATTTAATAAAACTTCGCCTTACATTATTCACATCAATATTCTCGTTCGAAACGATTGAGAATAAAAATGTGTGCTAGTTTAATGCATGGTTATGTTCTAGGAATGAAGCATCACACATATTAATCAATTTTAGATGAACTATGTATATTTCCTTCCTTGATCTTGATATTCGCCGAGAAAATTTAGATCATCGGGCTTTTGCAACTATCACCCGATTTTTGATGAATTACTGCCCCACTCGGCGTTCTGTTGTAGGTCTTAAGAGAAGATATCCAAATTTCTCTTTCTAAAAACAAAGACAAAGCGATGTCTAATTTAAAATTCTATCTGGGATATCGATCTAATTCTATCTTAAAAAGGTCAATTGAGGGCTGTGTGATCCGAATCAATTAATTAAAGACGGAAATCACCTTTTCTCCCGATCTGACATTTAGGCAATTCCCTACCAATTTCCTTCGAAATTGTATGCTGATGACGCACAAGCTGTAAAAATTCTCAACAGGAAAATCAAGAATTCCGCAGTTCAATTTCTTAGTAAATTAAGGGATGTCGAGATTAACGTCAACATTGAATTTAAGAGAAGAGATAACATAATCTTTTTGCTGAGACCTCTGCATTATTGTATAAAGCCATAAATTAACGAAGGTTTGATATCCAATTTTATTTTTAATTAAATTTCATCCTTTGAAGTCGGTTAATTTCTAAGGCTTTACAGCAAATTTTTACTTTATCACATATCTCTTTAAAAAATGAATGGAAATGTAAAATGCATATTTTTTTGAGATAAACAGTTGGATTGGCGTGATAAGTTATACTTAATTAGTATAATTCTCAAATAATCGTGATGAGTTTATGCTGCGGATAGCCGATCGTGGCTATTCGAAATTGTTCTAGAACAATCAAAAAAATTGTTTGATATTCTCCATCGGATTTTTGTAGAAATTGCTAGCGAATTCAAAAAAAATATATATATAAAATCCTAGCCTTTGAACAATTAATTAAAATTACTGAGAATCTCTAAAGATGGTAGCTTATTATTATCCATATTACGAACCAAGGATTTCACCCTTCTATACGAGAAGGTTTTTTCAACCAACACAAAATTCATTTCCGTGTTCTTATCAACATTACAACACTAGTCCATTATACAATCATCCCGAGCCTTATTATCATTATACGCCACAAAATTATTCAGTTTACGATGACGAAGAAAAACGATTAAAGCAGAAAGAACAATTGAAAAGGTTTAATGAACATAACGCATCAAAATATTCCACAAATCATGAACCAGGAAAATCTTTTAAAATAAAAATTAATGGAGGTGAAGAAGAAGAAGCAAAGTCGAGGATCGACAAATCTCAAGCAGCACTTAAAATATTCAATTTTACCAAACATCAAACGGAAAAGAAACGACTTTGTCAAACGTTAGAAAAATTACATGAGCTTCGTAAGATTGAAGATGAATTAAAAGAAATTCATAGATCGAAACATATAGGAACCTTAACATTTGATAAAGAGCATGAAATACAGGTTTTACCGATCTCAATCGAAAATAAACGATTTTTAGAATATGAAGATAAAATTACGAAATTACTTGATAAACTGGATAGAGTACAAAGCGTAGGTGCCCATATCATTCGTGATCGAAGAAAACTTGACGTTAAATTTGCTCAAACCTTGTTGGAGGAATTGGATAAGGAAAGAGAAAATCAATGGAAATCCTTTGGCGAAAATCTTCAAGTTTTTATGAATGATGCAGATGAAAATTCTGTAGCCAACGAAAATTCAGAAATAGTTGCTCCAGTAAAGGAGGAATCCGTCATTGCGCCTCCAAACGAAGTGGCAAATGACGCATCGGATCCAATGGATATCTTACCTGAACGTTAATTTGATATTGTAGGGATCATTGAAAGTATTTATGGTGTGATATGCATTAAATAAATGATAGAATAGGATAAAATTAGTTAATTTGAATGTTATTCATTAGTTTTTGTTAATTTAGTATTCGAATCTCCTAATTAATGATGAACACATCCGATATAATAAAATATATATATACAGTATATTTTTTTTTTTTCAAATATTTTTTTTATTTTTTAATTTTATTTTTTAATTTTATAATTATTAATTTTTCGATATACGAAATGAATTACACGCTGTCTGTTTTACTCTTGACGGCAATCACGTTTTCTTTTTTATCATATCAAACATATTCGATATGTATGGATTTTCATGATCCAATGAATTTAAGTAAATCATCAATAGTAGACTGTTCACTTAAACAAAATGACAACATACTCGATGATAATTTTCAGTTAAATGGTGACGATAACCTATTTCAGGTGAAACTTAATTGTCAAATCAATGATAAAGAAATATGTGCAAAAGTTGAAAATTCGTTTAAATTGGCAGGGGATATAATTACCTATGCTCTCGTGCTTCATACGCCCATCATCGTTGATGCCGTATTTGGTCAAATGGATCCAAAAGTATTAGGAGGGGCAACTGCGTCCAGATTTATTTCAATAACTGATGATGATGATAAAGAAAGATTTTATCCACAAGCATTGGTAAAACAATTGCAGTTTCCAACGCAAACGTCAGGATATGCAGATTCGGACATTAAAGCACAATTTAATTCATTACAAAATTGGTATTTCCCTGATGATGAAGGATCTATTAAAGAAGGTCAACATGAACTTTTATATACAGTTTTACATGAACTTATTCATGGTTTAGGATTTATTTCAAGTTGGAAAAATCATATTGACTTGCAATTACAAACTCCAACAAGAGGTTTAACTCCTTTTGTTGTAACGGGATCTTATGTGGTACCCCCCGCTCTACCAGATGGGTCATTTGAATTTACGGGATTTTACGAAACTATATTTGATAAATTCGTCGTGATGAATAATAATGGCGATCGAAATGAATTGTCTACTTTGACTGATGAATTAAATCAATTCTCGGGCAGAAATAAACAATTTACACAATTATCAAGTTTTTATAATGAATTACAAAATTCACCACAATTTGATGCGGCTAAAAAAGTGCTTTCATCGAGCACTATTAAAAATTCTTTAATCTTTTTACCGAAAGGATCAACAAACATTCAAGTTGATGGATTGATATTAGAGACGAGTCTTAATACTTATGTGGCGGGAACAAGTATTGTTCATGCAGACCTTGCCACGTATTCTAATGATTCGGATTTCTTGATGATATACACCGGATTTGTTGGCATATCAATGAATGAAATTATAAGAAAAAGTGGTAATCGTACCGGTAGCGCCATCGGTCCGAAATTACTTGGGGTATTAAATTCAATCGGATATACGATAGCTAATAATCCGATCAAACCAAAGTCATCAACCGTCTCAATTTCTATTTCAAATAAACGTTCATTAATAATAATGATATGTCAATTAATGCTATATATAATGATTAATCATATACTTTTGTTTTTTTAAAAAGAAAAAAAAAAAATTTCAAAAATTAATTATTAAAGAAAAATATTAAGTTGGCTAGATTAAGTATAATATTATTATTTACAATCAAATAATTTTGATTATTTTTTTTTTTTTTTTGTCAACGCATTATTATTAAAATTAATAAATTAAGGGTCAATATAATCAAGAAATCCAACTTTTTGGTTTTAAAAGCAGAATTAGATTTCTTTGAACTATTGTTTATATCTTTTTCATTTGTATTGCCCGGTTCTATTGGTGAATACACCGTTGGATCAAAATTGTTTCCAATTATCGTGACACTTGGTTTATATGGATTTGTATATTCTGCCGTGGAATATCTACAAAGGAAGTAAAGGAAAAAAAAAATTGGTTAATCATCTTAACGCGACGCATGACGTACTTAAAAATGCTCACCCCATCGTTTCCAAGATGAGTTTTAATCCGGGACCTATGACGGAATTAACATTCCCATAATTTTTTCCATTACGTATAGCAATTAATGTGTTCAAATCAGCCCCGTGATCCGCCAAAAATTTCATGAGAAAATCACTGGTATTGTTAAAGGTTTTAAAATCTACATGACTTACGCTCGAGCCTGGTTGATAAGGTACCAAACCAGTTTCTAAAATGATGGCATCATTAGCCTTGGTGGATCCTCGAGGTAAGAATCCCAAATCATTGGGCACGATAGAATAACTCATGACCTCTTTTGCTATTTGATATTGAGGTGAATTACGAAATTTTGCTATAAAATCCAAATCGCTTTGAAAGTTCACTCCAACGATTTCTTGAAACTTATTTAAATCTCCCGTGAATGCCGATAGCCTCCTTCCCGTCGGGATGTGAATTATATGTTTATCAAATGCCGATTCTAAAAATCCTTCAAACATGAATTGTTTCGTTGGATTCCCAGATACTGAAATTTCTGGCGTCAATGCTTCGGGGATATCGTTCACATAATCTTCCCAGCCTGACGCGAAACCCAAACCATGTATCATCTCATGTATTGCCACATATAAAAAATCCTGCTGTTCACGTGATATTGGCGGATCTCCTTCAAACCAATAACTTGCCCCCACGGCATTAAATAACGCTGTAATATCAAAAGGTCCGAATGAAGGATGCTGTTTAAATTGAAATTGTTTTACCAAAGCTTGAGGATATAATCGGACTAATCCATCATTGTCTTGTAATGGAATTGTTCTTGCAGGAGTTGCCCCTCCTAAAGTTACAAATCCACCTTTTGGACATTCTCCCAATGCCTTGCAAAAGTCCAAGAAACTAGCATTTAAATTTATCGGTGTATTAAGTTCTAAAGTGGATGAGATGATCTTACCAGCCGATTCAAATGCGTTTTTTGCTTTATCACAAAGAGCTACATCTAATATTCCACACGTAAATGTTACCAAAAACATATTTTCCCCACTTTGTTGCGAATATGATGTGGCAAATTTAATGGATTTTTGTTGCTTTTCCATTGGACATTCTATCGGTATTTTATACGTTTTTTTTAAAGGATTTGGATAATCAAAGCATTGTGATAATGTACCTAGAATTCTTGAAAATGCTACTAATGAAAATATCACTAGTGCATGAGCTTTCATTTTTATAAAAAAAGGGTCAACGGATCTTAAACCAAAAATCTTTTTTTTATTTTTTACGAAATAAATGATGAGCGAAAATAATGAGGATAGAGAGGGAGGGAGTATAATGAAAAGAAGTTAGGAAGGAAAGAAGGGGAAGGAAAGGGAAGAAGGAAGGAAGGAAGAATAATTAATAAAAAGGATTGTCGAATACCGTTAGAGCTTAAGAGAACTAGGCTCTCGTAAACTGTTTTCTCCGAAAAGAAAATAAATATAAAAAAAGATAAAAATAAAATAAGCTAAAATAATAAATAAAAAAAAAATAAAAAAAATAAAAATAAAATAAGCTAAAATAATCTAAAATAATGCTGTAGTATCAAATTAATTTTAAAAAAAATCCTTTTTACCTATAAATGAACCGAATTAATATTGTGTTTGTTATTTTTATTTGCTTCATTGCATAATTAGTTAGTAGAAGTCATTTGCTGATTCGTATTTTGTCATGCATTTATGGTCTTACAAAAAATATTGTAATCTCAGAAAAGCGCAGTACACAAACAAAAAAATTAATGTAAAAGAAGCAGTTGCGCCTGTTTTTGGCCAATAAAACCAAAGGAACAAAGGATCTCGTTTCTTCACAAAATTACTTTGCATGAGTGACCGAAACAGATTTCTCTTCATCGTGTGTTATACTATACGTTCATTGAACATGCATATGTTCTAATTATTATTAATTCTTGGCAATAGAACTTATATTACATGCCAATGTTTATTCTTGAATAATGTATTAATAAATTTGATAGAAATTAAAATATTGAATAACTTTTTGAATGTTGTATAGACCTAAGTTAGTGCTTAAAGTACTTGTTTCACTAATTGGCGTACAAGGTTAATTATTGTAACCAAGTTTCAAAATGACAATAAATTTCGTACCATCGTATTTATTGGTCATATTTAGCATAAAATAACTGGATTACGAATTATAATTCCTGAGTAATTTGACGTGTTTTTTGCGTTAGGTCACATGGCAAGTTATATTTTATTTTGTAGTTTTTGTTTTTGTTTGTTTATAAAGCAGATAATTAAATAAAAATTGAAAGATTGAAAAAAGCAATAAAAACGAGTTCGCTGATATAATGAATGTATTTATTAGATAATTTTTTTTATTTATTATTTTGCTATTAAAATCACGTTACGGATCATATGATTTACAATTTTAATAGCAAAAGCTGGCATAAAAAATAAAGCGATTTTCATGCTAAATTCACGATTGCTGAGCCATCAATATAAGTATCGAGTTATGAAAGCTTACTTATTTGTGTGAATTAAATTAAAAAAAAGATTATGCACTTTGCCAAAATTGTATAAATTCATGGAAGGAATTTAATTTTTATTGAAGGACCCTTGCATGGTCTAGATTGATGTGAAACAAATGCATGCCAAATAAAATTTTTCCGATCCACTGCTTTCGCATCATTACATGTTGTTTGTTATGGAGGAAATGTTCTTTGACATGTTAAACATTTTGATTTTTTTTTTTTTTTTTAAAAAAAAAAAATGAAATGAAATGATATTCAAATTCTAATTAAATCAAAAATGTAAAATTATTTACTATTTATTTACATTGTTTACATTGAAATAGAGTAATGATCATAGATTTTTCGGAGAAAGTCAACAATTTATTGTGTAAAATTAGTTGACAAGCAGAGTCCCAATCATGTTGCTTATGACCATAATTTGCCACATAGCAAGCTTCTCGCACCGCTAGTGCTACTATACGAGTTCTATTACTTTCTTCATAAATGTAATTTTCTTCGATTTTTGGATTATTATCGTTATTAATTTGACTTGTTTCTTGATTTATTACTGTCGACTGCGTTAAAAAAAAAATTATATAAAATAATAAATTCTTTTATATTAGTTTTTCTTTCTTCTTTGGTAATCTTTCATATACGTACCGGCATAATAATTTCTTTGTATTTGAAGCGAAATAAAAGGTTGAATTTTTAAATATTTATAAAGATTTAAAGGTTTCAAAAAAACAATTTACTCTATTTATTTATGTACTTGTACATAAAAAAGCTGGTTCTAAGATCAGTATCAAATATGTTTAATATGTCATTATGGGGAATTATTTCCATATTTGATCAAACACCGAAAAGCACATCTTCTGTTCTCTTTAATTTACATGTGACAATCATAAAAAAAGTGGCGTGATTATTTCCAGATCCTAGTTGCTTTTTCTGTTTTTTTTTTATTATTTCAACCAAGTCGTTCCATTTAAAAAATGAGTAAATGCTTCGAACGAAGTAGTGTTGTAGATTTGATACAAAATAAGAAATGAGTTCGCAAAATGATATCAATATAAATACGGATGGATGTCAGTAAGATTACCGACCATAAGGCTCAAGAAGGTCGTGATCCGGTGAATCATGTACAATGTCAATCATTGGGGGTTTTTACATGATCATGCTCTTAAATACGAGTCAAACGATATTTAGAGGGATCCATTTTATAATTAAAGAAAATTAAACTAACTTCGCAATGAGATGAAATTTTTATTTTGTGCGAGCTTCAATTGTGTTTCGGTATGTGATACAATTTGGCGCAAGCACCACATTGAAATTAAATTTTTTAATGTAACAATGAATTATCAGCCACAATGTTAAAAAAAGTGAACCAAGTGCGCCACTGACAAAATCAGTAAAATTAACGCCACGTCATACGAATTGGACACACAACCTACTGTAATCTCCTTATTAATGAATAAATAAGAACAACAATTAATATTTCTACCTTTACCCTTATCTTTAGGATGAAACATTCGTTAATATTCATCACGATTTCAACCTTCTTAGCTACAATAATTCTCACTCATCAAACATCATCAATAAAATGCTTTGATCATCCAAATCCATTGAACTTTCATCAAAAAATTCCTGTAAATTGTGAATTTGCTACGAGATCATTAAAAACAAAAAGGAAATCATCAAATGATAAATTTCAAATAAAATTCACGTGTGGAATGGATGATAAAAAGCTTTGTGATAAGGTTCAAAAAGGCTTTGAATCTGCTGGTCAGATCATAACTTCAACCATATCAATTGAGATTCCTATAACGATTGATGCTTCGTTTTATGATTTCTGTAAAACTGATAATCAATGTTCCATTGATAATAATGTCGTCGCTGGTAAGTGAATTTTATTCATAATTTAAGACTTTTTTTTTAAAAAAATTTATCAATGACCTTTTTTTAAATAAATTGATTTACTGTAGGTGGAGCGAATCCGGCAAGAACAATAGCATTGATGGATGAAGATGGTGTTGAGAGATATTATCCACAAGCTTTGGTTAAACAATTACCTTTTGAACATCATCCTAATTTTGGTCCTTTTGATATTTTGGCAAAATTTAATTCAGAAGCGGATTATTGGTTTGAGGGAGATGATTCACAAATCAAACCTGAACAGGCAGATTTTCAATTAGTAGTTTTACATGAACTTGTTCATGGATTAGGATTTTATTCAAGTTGGAATGACTTTTTCGATTTTGTGAATCCAAAAGGATTAACTCCAATTCCAAGTGTTGAAGGAGAGGTAAAGGAAAATATGGAAATGATATTTAATGGATTCATTGAAAATATATTTGATAAATATTTAGTCATTCTATCATCAGGGGAACACGCATCAAACATCACAACCATAATCAATACAATAGTAAACGAAAAAGGGAAATTTTATGAAACTCCAAAAGATTTTATTGTAAAATTTAAATCATCTCCACAATATCTTCAATCTCAAATTATGTTGCAAACTGCAACAACACCATTCGCTTTAGGATTTTTACCTAAAAATGCAAATTCTCCAAGTGAAGCCATTGTGCTTGAAACCACACTAAATCCTTACCAAACGGGATCGAGTCTCGGTCATGTTGATTATAAAACTTATGTGAATACTTCTGATTTTTTGATGACATACAAACAAGATTCGGGGCTGACACTTGGTGATTTTATGTCTATTGGTGGTAATTACACTGGCGGTCCGATCGGCCCAAGGTTAAGACAAGTTTTAAAAACATTGGGGTAAAATCCGCACGTTTTAAGAATTTTTTTTTTTTTTTAAAAAAAAAAAATAAAATTTTTAATTTTTAATTTTATATACTTTCTTTTAAAAAAAAATGTGCCATTTAGGTATGATATAAAAGGAGTTTATATCAGTCCTTATATACCCAGCGTAACACCGAAAGGGCATAGTCAAGCTACTATAAATGAACCCTCAACGATAAGCAACGTTATTTTCACAATATTTATCGGCATTATAATTCATCTTGTAAATTAATGCATAATATTCATGACATTCATCAACGTTAAATTATTATTTTTTTTTTTATGAGAATTTCTATATAACATAAATGTACCATCATACGAATTGCCTTTGGTCAATTGCAACTAGTCGAGTTTCGGCTAAGTTGCCTGCAAATTATCTGAATCAGTCTTTAACTGAAGCCTTAAATTTACTCTAACCATAAAAATGCCTATTATCAGAAATATCGGATTAGCCAAACCATAATCCGTTAATTTATATACAGTATAAAATTACATTACTAGGTCCTTCCTTTTCATGTCTTGGCACGATCTATCCGATTATATCCAAAAAAAAGGTACTTTTGATCTGCAGTCCACATCTTTATTTTCCGAATACGTAAAAATCTATTGAGAATTTCACAGAACAGAATCAAGTTTTTTGTTTTGTTGGAATAAAAGAGGATATAGGCGTATTATGAAACAAAATTGTATTCCGGATTAATCATTAATTTCGGTTTTTACATCTGATGATGGCCGAAACTCAAAAACCAATAAAAAATGCTTTTTGGTGTTTGAAATAATTAAAGACATACTTTATTAGCCTAAAATCATCTCCTACAAGCCACTTCTTTGAATGTGAAAAATATCGTGAACTGCAAAACACCAAAAAAAAAAATCATTCCTTTTTATCTTTAAATCTCTCCATATATGCAAATCTTTCGTTGTTCATTGATTCTTTGTTATTCTTAATTCACGTTTTCCTTTCGTTCATTTATAAAATCTATAAAATTTCAAAGATTTTTCGAAATATTTCTTAAAAAAGTAAATCACATTATAAAAGTTGAAATATTGATTATTTCAACCATAAAACCGACTCATTCGCATATTTCTGCGCCACATTCATTCAACCATGAAGATATCGTTATCATCATTCCTTTTATTATTTATTGCAAGTTTAACATCAATTAAAGAGATCTCAGCCCAATGTTATGATTATACGGATGCGTTGGATCTAAACGCAAGGATTCCAATATCATGTAAACTGGTCGAAAAGATTGAGCTACCGATAAAAGTTCCAATTGAAACAAGTAAATTTATAATCAATTATAAATGCGAAATTCAAACCAATCAATGTGCAAGAGCGCAACGATCGATACAAAAGGTCTGTGATATTTTAACGGAAAACCTAAGTCTAAGGACGGACATTAATGTCGATGTCTCATTGAAAAATTTATGCCCTCCCGATGCTAAACAACCATGTAATGAATTAGGGGGCGCGGAATTTGCCAGAACTATGGAACTTTTGGATGATGATGACATGATTCGAGAATATCCAACAGCTCTTGTAAAACAATTTGATTGCGATCAACATTATGAATTTGGTGATGTTGATATACGCGCTGTATTTAATGGAGGAAATGCTACTTCATTATGGTTTGAGGGGGATCCACAGATCACATTGGATCAAATAGATTTTAGAATGATAGTTTT